AGAGACCAGAATGTTTTTTCCTAAAAAAATATTGAAAATTGATCTCATTTTGTAGAGCACGGTGAACTCGTTCCATCTGTGCAAAAAAAATTAAAATCCGAGTTAAAACGAAAAAGATATGAGTCAATTAAGAAAGCTAGTGAAAATAAAAATAGCCTTTAATTCTCCATCTTTAGATCTGAATTTTCTAAATGAAGGGTCCAGATTTGGTTATTGATGAGTGCATAACCCATGGTTATGCACCCTATCTTGAGCCCTCATCTCCTACCTTCCACCCTCACCTCCGCATATTACACTTGTGGAAAAGTACATATCCAAATTTATATATTTCTTACAATTTAATACATAAACTTTAATTTATTTACAAAAAGGCCAAGAAAATTTGGTCGTAAAGTTATAATTTTGTCTTGCATTATAGTACCAGAACCTTTAAAAGTTGACAAACATACCCAATATATTGTTAATAGAAATTTCAAATCATTAGTTAGTTGACATGTATTTGAAATTCGCAAGTAATACACTAGATATTTATTTTGAAATTATTCCATAAATTTGATTAAAATTCGAATACCACATGTAATTAATATTCAAACAAATAATTTAATATTAGAAAATTCAAATAAAAAATCGAAATCTTTCCATCCGAACCCTCCCTAATAACACTTAGGTTGATAACCTTTTTTTCATGAAGAGATTATGGTTTAGATCATATGTCATTCTTTAGATAAGTTGTTTGGTGTGATGGGAAAACTTTGGAAAATCAATGAAATTGGAATCTTTAAAAAATTTGTTGCTTTTGGAATTCACGAAAGACAGTCCAAGACAATAATGTATATATACTTAAAATTGCCAAAACTCGGAATTAACAGGAAAACAAACATGCATATAGAAGTCAACCTTGGCTACCTTGGTTTATCGCTTTCAATTCGAAGGCACGTTTAATTTGTTGTGTACCATTTTAAATGTATAATAATTATATGTAAGTCAATGGGGATTTTCTTTGAGTAATTAAATTAGTAATACAAAAGGAGGAGAAATATGTCGACAACCAGGATGGGTCCAGTTAGCAACCCGGTTGGTTACGCCATAGTTATTTGCTCAATTAAATTTAACCACTATATTTCTTTTGTTTTAAAGTCAGAATTTAAAAATCTTTACAGTTTACACATAAAAATCATATTAGTTGAAATCTTCATAATGACATTCACTTTAATATTTTGAAAAAAAAGTAACTAAGACATATATTATCAGTTTATATCATGATGGTAAACGTTTTCATAAACTGGTTTTGTTTATCTGGAAAGATCAATAATAGGAAGCTGAAATAAAGGCAGGTTCCTTCGAAGCCGCTCACTGTCGTTTCTCTCGACTTCTTTGCATGTTTTCCCCTCTGTTTTTCAATGAATCCAATAGTTTATTTTTTTTTGATTTGCATTCGTCGTCCCAGTGTAATGATCGATAGATACTAATAAAATAATGCAGCATTATTGATCAAATGTGTTCATATTGTATTATTATATACTAGGGGTTTTGGCAATGGCACATGCATAGCATCTGCCTAAACTAAACCTTCCTCGTCGAACCCTTGATGCCATCGAGCTGCTCAGTACAGGCGAACGCTGCATGTAAATTTGGTTTTTTTTATATAGGTATAATATGCCTTTTTAGTTTGATGTTTTATCAAATGGCTAAATTACACGTTTGGTCACTCAAATTATACTAATCTTTCACGTTTACCACCCGAATCACTTTTCTTTCTTATTCGCCACTAACTTTACGGATCGTTTCATCATTAGTCACTGGCCGTCCAATTCCGTTAAAATCATCCTACGTGGCAGTCAACTAAATTCTTTGACCGTTAGTTTGATGACGTGGCAATTAAAATATATATATATTAATTTTAAAATTAAAAATATTTCTCTTCCTTCCACTTCTTCTCCCGCAACACTTCTCCTCGAATCCATAGAGAGGCCATTCTAATTCAATTTAGAGGCTTTAAATACTTGATGCTAAATATTGAATCCCACTCAAGAAGCAAGGAAAGTAAATGTGATTTATCATTCATGCCCCAGTGGCTGAATAAAATGCAGATAGCTAGTCCTCTGTTTCCGTCCAGAGGGGACTTCAGCAATAAGGTGGCGGGGAATGAGGACAAGGATGTCCATGGCTTCCATCAGGGTTTGATTCTCCGACCTACCTTTTCCAGAATGTCCCCATCTAATTGGAGCGGAAATCCGAAACAATTCAGAATCGGCCGAATACATCACCGCCATCTCCGGCTAAGCCGAAAGGTACACAGACAGAGCCACAGCGCTCGGAGAATCTCCAGGGACCGGCTTCCACCGTAAACCCATCAACTGACGAGCTTGGAAACGTCGGGTTTGATTTGAGCTCCGGGGAGAAGTTTGGTCAGATCTCTGAGTCCTGGAGCAAGGACAAGGCGGCTATGGCACTTACCCTCCACCACGAGGTTGCTAAGGAAGAAGAAATGTCAGTGGCGAACGTGAAGGAGAAAGAGAAAGAGAAAGAGAAAGAGAAGGATGTTTTTGTGGATACGGTTTCGGTAACGAAGGAGGAGGAAGTGATGGCGGTAGTGGATCCGTCAGATGCACCTCCTCCTCTGCTTCCGGTAGATCTACCGTCTCCGCATGTGCCCACTCCTTATCTCCGTCGTTGCCATCGCCTGCGAAAGTAGCTAAGAGGAAAGTAAAGGAGGATGTATAGATCTGTAGGTCAATCGCGAAGTAGTGATGGACGCGAGGAGAGAGAGTTACACATTGAAGATATCTACAAGCGCCGATCGGCGCCGGCGCCGCCACTCCACAGCTATTCCTGCCTCAGATCTATATACGAATTGATGATCATTAGGAGTTCGATTGGATTCAAGGAGGGGGGAGAGAAGTTTAAGGAAGATGAATATTTTTTAATTTAAAATTTATTTTTTGAATTTTTTAATTGCCACATCATCAAACTAACGGTCAAAGAGGCTAGTTGACTGCCACGTAGGATGATTTTAACGGAATTGGACGGCCAGTGACTAATGATGAAACGATTCGTAAAGTTAGTGGCGAATAAGAAAGAAAAGTGATTCGGGTGGCAAACGTGAAAGATTAGTATAATTTGAGTGACCAAACGTGTAATTTAGCCTTTATCAAATATACTTCTTTATTATTTTTTACATTAAATATGTCCCTGTACTTTGTAAAAATTATCAAATATTTTAATCCAAAAACCGTTAACGAACGCCAAACTTTGGTTTGGAGGGCCTCCCAGCACACCCTCTTGGTCGGCCCCGAGTCATGTTGTACTTGCGAGGAGTAAATTTACAAGAGAAAAAAAAGACATTGCCAACCGAATTTCCTCCATAATCGCTTCACTCGGTCCATGGGTACCTCCATTCCTAGACTCGTCGAATTAAGGTTTGACAATCGCCATAAAAGTTCACAACAAGAAAACCATGTATTAAGCACTTATTTGTCGTATCCCGTAAAGTTAACAATCCCATCAGAAAGGAATCAAAAATACATGTGTCGTGATTATTGGTTTGATTTTGGTTACTCACTAATCGATTTGGCAGTTACTTGTTGACCACTAAGAAAAAATGCATACAAAAAGCCGAACCGATAAGGCTTATTGGTTAGTCGCATGTATGGGTTCAGTTAGCGGTTAGTTTGACGGTTAGCTACTAACCAATAACAACCTCCACATGCGACATTTTTCTTTTATTTACATTTTTTAAATTTTGTGTGGTGTCCTTTTTAATAATAAAATATAATCATACAAATATTTCAAAACAAATTTTGCAACACTTCAACGTCATTAACATAAAATAATAATTATAATAAACAACATCAATACAATACTAACATTTATTAAGAAATCATAATCCAAATTGCAACACATAAAATCACAAATAATTAAACTGCCTTCATACAATTAGCGAATACCAACTAGTAAGATATCAAACACAAGCACCATAATATCATTATCATTTACAAACATCAAAGAAACAAATACTACTACGGTGTGAGGTTTGCTCTGTTCACTGCAAATAAAAGTCGGCGAGGGATGACTTTGATTCTTAAAAATATATTTGAGACTATAATTTAGTACAAGCAGATTAGTGATGACAACGGGGCGGGGCGGGTACCTCAATTCTCATGCCCGGTCCCACGCTACTACGGGGCGGGGCTGGTCGGCCCACTCTTACATATTATTTGAAAAAAAAAAACATGTAAATTTTACTTTTTATCATAAAACGAAGGGGAAAAACTCTTTAGGAATGAAAAATAGTGATAATAGAATGAGTAATTGAGTCTGATAAGTTAAAAGATCGACTCTAACTAATTGAAGAAAAGTCAAAATATGATGAATATGTATAGATGCTATAAGAAATTAAAATAAAATAGTTCTAGAACGGGACGGGGCGGGGCAAAGCGGATTAGGAGTAAATACTCATGCCCTCTCCCTACCCCACGCTACTGCGGGTCGGGTAACACTCACCCTATCGCGAATCAGGTCGGATAATACCCGCGAGCGGGTTGAAATTGCCATAAGGAGAGGTGACAATTGAATAATCGGTAGACGGTAGGCAAGCTATGTCATAATAATTATTAAAAAAAAAATGAGACTCGAGAGAAATAATTTTGTTTTGATATAGAAAAAAGTTCGGTGACCGTTTTGTTATAACTTGTAAAGTTCATTGGCTGTTTGGTCACGGAAATAGTGTGATCTCTTGAGTCCCCCCTGACACGGCTCCTCTAATATAAGAAATCTAACTTTACTCTCTCTCTCTCTCTCTCTCTCTCCACGCCAAGTTTTAATATTCGCAACACAAAAACGTGTGGGAAAAACAAAAGCATCCGCAGATCAAGAACAAAGCAAGAAGGTGGTGACTGGGCCCCACTCCCACCACAAGAAAAGAAAGAATCCAATACATTTGTTTTCAAAAGGAAACAAAAAACTCGTGGGTCTAATTAAATCCAATCCGCTTCAAAGAACGTGCTTTCTCGACCTAACCCTTTAATCCCCTTTTTTTTATTTAAATATTTATCTATAAATCACCCTTCCCCTCTCCCATTCAACCCACAAACCAATCCCCAATTTCCCATCCAGAAAGAAAGAAAAAATCTCAATCTCCGTCGCCAAACGAAGAAGAAGCAAGGTAAAAAAAAAATGGTGAAGAAATTACTGTTATCTCCGTCGCCGGCGCCGGAAAAGTCGACCTTTGCGCAGACCTGCAACCTCCTGAGCCAGTACTTGAAGGCCGGGAAAGCCAATCTGGGAGATATCAGCCTCGCCGCCAAGTTCGACCACCAACAGCCTCCCGTTAATTACAAATCTTCATCAGGTAATTCATTCGTTGTTTAATCAGTCGTGAAGAAAACGGAATTGAAATTTTCGAAATCGAAATTGATTCCAGATCTGAAACTTATGGATTTTCTGTTTCTTAATTTGATTTTTTTTTTCTTCTTCCAGCAGCTGCGCCGACCACGACGCTGGACCTTCTGCCGGGCATCGGCAGCTCCTCCTCCAATCGGGAGGGAGAGAGCGGCGAATTATACGACGGGAAGCCGTTGCCCCGGTTCACCGGGTTCGGATCTACGACGACCGGAGCAGGGGGAGAAGGCGGCGCTCAGATGACGATTTTCTACGGCGGGAAAGTCATCGTGTTCAACGATTTCCCGGCGGAGAAGGCCAAGGAGATCATGGGCTTGGTTTCCGAACAGCATGGGATTAGCAATAACAAATCTCAGGACGAGCAGATTAATAACAACAACACCGCCGCGGCGGCGGCTTCCTCCTCGTCGACGTCCCCCGACGCCGGCCAGCGGATCGGCCACCTACGGCCGCCGCAACCCCGGCCGATGGGTTCGGACCTGCCGATTGCCAGAAGAGCTTCTCTTCACCGCTTCTTGGAAAAGAGAAAAGACAGGTAATTAACGAATCGATTAATCTCTAGCAATTAGATCAATCAAATCTAAACAGAGTTTAGTTCTGTAATTAACCATCTTGTTCTTGAATCTCTGCAGGGTTACATCGAGAGGGCCATATCATCAATTCGAGTCCCCGAAGGCAGCTGATGGCGACAAGAAGAATCCATGGATTGATCGACGGATGAGCCAATCGGCTACGCAGCTGGAGCTTAGCTTATAGGGTTCCCATTACTTTATTAATTAATTAATTACCGTGATCCATAATTACTTAGCTTTTGGATGATATAAGATGTTTCTAATTGGCTGTTAATCAATTTTAACATCTTTATCTTCTTTTTTTTTTTTTTGTGCCTATGCAACATTTTGACAAAAAGTATAGACATTTTTGTACATCACAATCCAATTACAATGCTATGGACGGCGCTTTATTATTATCACATGAATATATCGAGATCGCTTTGCCTATATACATATATGATTTGGCTTACAAGCAAGTAGGGGTGTTCAAATGGTTACCATGGTTATTACCAAATCAAATAAGGCTAAATTTTATTAATTATGAAATACAATATCATAACCAAATCGTCCAAATTAATACAACAACCAAATTAACCAAACTAAAGTTTAATCGGTTTGGTTAATTGGTTAACCAGATTAACCAATATAAAATCATATTAGCATTAACGGAGAAAAATTTCGGTTAATTTATCAATTCACAATTTATATAGTGAATAAAACATAACAATCAACACATAGTTATAGTTGATCCTTAACATAAATACATGCAACTAAGACAATTATCTTACGGTTAGTATAGAAGTATTAACCTAACAAAAATTTATCACAATGGTATTGGTTAATGAGTTGTTGTGTTTGTTTGAAGTGACTTAGTCTTTTAGCAATTTTCATAGGCTGAAAAGAACATTGATTTCAAGTTTTCATCCAACATAATGTATGAGATTTATCTAAATTAGGCGTTCATATGTTGTGGTCTACACGCTACATATACAAATATACATTATAGGAACAATATCAAGCTTTATATTTTATGAGTCTAAAAGAATGAACGTTTAACTCTTGAGTGGTTATTCAAAGTATTAAGTATGTGTATATATTAGATATATGGCTAATCATTTATCTGGTTAATTTGGTTTGGTGGTTAGGAGTGTGTGAAATCAAACCAAACCACCTACACCAAACAAGGTAAAAACTTTAACCAAACCAAACCAATTATCCAAATTAACCAAACCAAATTATCCAAATAGTACTGGTTAAAACAGTTACCATGATAACCACAACGTTTACAAGCAAGTAATTCAATGCCACGTCTCAATGGCTAAGATTTGATAAGTTCATGGCCGTGAAAATACTTTCGGGCAATCTTTTATGGAAGAAAATTAATTTAAAAAATAATTTTTTTTTTCTTGATTGGAGGGGAGGCCAAAGCCAAGGGTCAAGCAACAGCGTACCAACCCAAACAGCTGAGACTGCTACAAGTCAGCAGAATAAGCCCAGAATGGGTTTCAGAATACAACCAAAAGGTCGAACTAAGAAGACCAAGAAGAAAAATCGAGCAAAGCCAAAAACTCACAAGCAAGCTAGACATTTTCCTGCAGCACTCTTCTTGGAAAGCTGACCCCAATAATGTCTTCCCTCGGGATTCTTTCCAAATCTCCTGGAGGGTCTGTTAGATCATGCGTACCGAAGGGATAGACGAGACTGTGCTTCGAGAGCCAGTCCGCGACTCTATTCCCTTCTCTATACGTGTGAACTAACTGGACCACCCAGTTTTGAGACATCAAACGCCTAATGGCCGCCAGGATCGTCGAGTGAGGATGTGCCGGGTCTTCACGATTCTTGACGAGCTCGATAGCCAGTTTTGAATCTGTTTCTAAGATAAGAAATTGGGTACCATGATCCCAAGCCATAGTCAGGCCCTGATGAATCCCCCAAAGCTCCGCTAGAATGGCCGAACCAGTCCCAATCTTGCAACAAAAACCTTTCAGCCACTCTCCATCACTATCTCTGAGAGCTCCTCCAGCAGTTGCTAGACCCGATGGAGCCTGGGAAGCTCCGTCCGTGTTCAGCTTTCTCCACCCAACCGGCGGAGCCTTCCACCCGATCAGCTTGTCCTCGCGAGGTGGCTTGTGACCCGAAACCAGGTTGCTGCTAGCTCTATCCCAAGTGGCGAGCCAGTCCTCAGCCTTGGAAGTGACATAGTTGATGAAGGTCGACTCTGCAAGCTTCTTTCCCTGGAAAAGATTTTCATTTCTGCCCTTCCAAATAAACCAGCATAACAAAGCAAATCTGCTGGGCCAAACTTCTTTATCATTACCGTCTCCACCACCCTTAAGGTTTGTTCGGAACCACGTGGCATGGTCTGCTGAGAAGAAACTGTGGTGATTTTGGACCGGTACCACTTTCTCCCAAACCTTCTTTGCTCCCGTGCAATCTCGCAGGCAGTGTAAGTTAGTCTCGGAGCTATCGGAACACAAAAGGCAGTTTTCATCGTTTGTCAGGTGTCTAAATTTCCGCACTCTATTTGTTGAAAGCCTCCCTTTTGTTGCAAGCCAAATGAACCATCTAACCCGCTCCGGGCAGTGAAGCCTCCAAATTCCCTGCCAGTCCATATGGTTTTGGTTGCTTAGATCCGAAGAGCCTGCCAAGTACGCCGAGCTAGCACTGAACAAGCCATTGGCAGTAAGCTGCCAAAACAATCTATCATTCTCATGGGAGAGAGGATCCAACATGACTGACCGGATCTTGTCGACGACCTCTTGAGGCAAGTAGCTCTGAAAGTCCTGAACCTTCCATCCGTTGCTTGCCTCCCAGTAGCCAGCCACCGTTTTGTGCTCCAACCCAATAGGCAGTGCCGAAGTGATCACCTCAGTCAAAGGCACCTGCAAAACCCACGTATCCGTCCAAAACTTAGTTTTCCTACCATTCTTAACATTATAGGCTGCTCCTTTGCGCACTAAATTAATAGTCTGAGCAAAACTGTTCCAAGCAAAAGAGCCTCCCTTTCTTTTGTTGATGATTTGCAATCCTTGTCTGGTTCCCCCGTATTTACTTCGCATCACCCGAGCCCAAAGAGCTTGATCATCCGACACCAACTTCCACGCTCCTTTAGCCAACATTGCTTGGTTTGCCAGTCTAGTTGGTCTGATCCCAGCTCCTCCTTGCTGCCTCGGTCTTGTCATATGATCCCAAGATATAAGGTGGAACTTTGTCTTCCCTTCCTCTTCCCCCCAAACGAACTGACGAGCTGAGTCGAGCCGAACACGAACAAACTCATTTGCTGAATCTTGGCTCATCATTAAGATCAAAATTTTGGCTCAAGCTCAACTCTAAGATAATTTATAAATTAAATACGTTAATATTTATATGTCATATATGATACATGTGATTAATTGATCTTCAAGTCATATATGAAACATATTTGCTCACATACTCAAATTATTAAACATCACATGAGGTGAGATATATAATTTAATAAATCTACGCATCATTAACAAACAATTCATAAGACACAGATGATTCTAAATAAATGCATCATTAATAAACAACTCATAAGATACATATGTTTCTCTCATAAATTATTATTAAATTGACTTGCTAGTCACAATATTGACACATCTCATGAATTTAAAATAACTTAATAAATCTATACATCAATTACCAACAACTCATAATCGTCTTCAATATGTCACATGGCTCACCGTGTTCATCTATAATTATTTACCCTTTTTCTATATGTTTAGGGTTTACCAACTGAAAGAAAAAAGAAAAGCCCAACACTGCTTCCTCGATTGTGCGTTCGACCTGGCCCCATGATAGTTAATAAATGGGCTTATTTCGGTCATATATACTCATTATATGGAATTAGGCTAATGCGTATTGCGTAATAAGTAGAGTATTATTTACTCGACCATTGGAGGTATTTAAAGTTTTAACTTTTTAACTCTTAAGAATCTATTGAGGGTTTCAAACTATACTGAGGAAAGCTCAATCCTTGAAGCGGAGTCGTAGGTGATTCAAGATGGACTGTCTTTAGCATGGATCTTTGGCACCGATAATTAAAAGTGGACTCGAATTCACAACTAGATATTATTTTGATCGTAGGGGTAGATAACATATTTTACATCGTACTTTTGTTGAGCTCATATTGAATTGCATGTGCCTCATACGTCAATCACGACAATACAAGTTATCAGACACCAATGATGAGCCCTAACTTGGGTCTCGATGATCGGAATTCACACAACTTCCAATTCAAGGCTCGAGTTGAGTCTTGAACACAAAACAAGGCATGGTTTTAGGCGATGGAACTTTCGTGCAATCTTTCACAAGGAAGAAGGCTCGAGAAGTATGGAAAGAAGCTAGGCCACGATCAAAAGCAACTTAGAATCAACTAAGCAACTCAAACGAATTCACAAAGCTACAAGCTTAATGAACCAAAACTCAAGGTTTGTATTAAACAACGTAATCTACCTTACAATGCAATCGAAAAGGCTTTAAATAGAACTAGCTAGGCTATCCAACTACAAAAGAGGTCCTAAGTACAATGGAACTCGGAAATCGAATACAAAACTAAAAAAGAGTAGAAATCCTAATGTAACAAGGAAACAAAATTTCTTGTGGTGCACGACAGAATTTGAGGCTTCATACGATCTTGCACACGTTCATTCGAAGCTTTAGAGCTATGCCCTTAATCATCCAATTCTTTTAGGTTTCTTAGAAAATGTTGTACTTCCATGTACCAATTCCCTTTTGCTTCGGCTCTTCCTCCTCTAGATCAAGTAAGCTCTCAAAGTAGGGTACCCGAACATGACTCCATACTTGGCCAGATTTGGGCAGTTTCTCTGTGACTCCATAGCAACTTGCACGATCTTGTTAATGACCTTAGGGATTTGTCCTTTGGCCAACAAACCTTCTACCCCGTAGATTAACTCTTGTACTTCAATGGATAACTGCCCATTGCAATTTCACTTATCCAAATGTGAGATATGAATTCCCAAAGTAGGCACCATGACACCAATGTAGTCAAAATCGCGCTTTAAAACTTAAAAACTTACGATTTTACGTTTCTAGGTAACTAAAACGTTTCTACACAAAATCTCAATTTTTATAACTCATGTAGTTAAAAACTCCGCTTTAAAACTTTAAAACTTACGAATTTACGTTTCTAGATCACCAAAACGTTTCTGCATAGAAACTCGTTTTTTACTACATTGCATGACACAAGCTTGACACTTAGCCAAATTATGCCTCTTTTCTTGCCAACTTGGATAGCTTCTTTGGCAAGTAATAAAAACTCATGGACTTGGCTACTTGGGATCATATCAACCAAAAGGAAAGGGAATAAACTTGCTGACAACTGGCTAGCTTGGGCCACTCTCGGATTCAGTGAGAGGTTTTGCACCCTTTTGTATTGTTGTTGTATCGTGCATTGGAAGCGGGTAT